CCTAATCCCCCATGAATGCAGATACCCCGGCCGAAGCCGTCAGTCATGCCATGGTGGCTTGGCATACACACAGGATCCCACGAAGCAGGGTCCATGGGGTTTTGGGTTGAGGGTTTACGGGGGTTTAGGGTTTCAGGTTTACGGTTCAGCATCTCAAGTCCAAGCATTCATTCGGCGTTAGGCTGCTTTATATCAGACGGACAAATACCCACACGCCCAGTGGGTCCAACATCATTAACAAAGTTATACAAGATCTCTAATTCCTTCAATTGGTAGCGCCCTTCCGTACTCCAAAGCCCGAAATCTAGAGGCCGCACCCCAAAGCCCGAACCCTAAAGCCCAAACCCCTCTTGCCCGAACCCTGTAGACGAAAGCAGGCCTTATTGGCAAAAACGGTCCTTGTCGACGAGAAATGGACCTTGTCGGCGAAAAATGGACCTTGTCGACGAAAAATGGACCTTGTCGACGAAAAATGGACCCTGTCGGCGAAAAACGGACGTTGTCGACGAAAAATGACCTTGACCACGAAGTGGGACAAGGAAAAATTGACATTGACGACGAAGTGGGACAAGGCAAGAATGGACCTTGTCGACGAGCTTATAAAAGTTTAATTAGATATAGCTTAGAGAGGTTTAGTGTTGAGGGTTCAGGGTATAGGGGTCTGGGACACGGTTTAGGGAGGGAGTAGGGTATAGTGTTGATCTAGGGCTTGGTTGCAATGTTGATTACCTTTTAGATTCCCTCGTTCTTGTACGGTTGTAAAAGAAACCTATTCAGAAATGGTTCGAGCTGACTAGAGTATCACCCAGGGAAGTTTTTGGGGTTAGCAGCATAACGAAGTAAGGGATATTCTCACGTTATCTTTCTTCGGGTGGAGTAGCCCAGTCGTTGATGAAAGGATTGTGAGATATTCCAGGTGTTTTGTGTTATTTGTGTAGTTTGCGTCTTTCACCACCTACCTGTGCGAGTGGATTGCTGTAGCTGCCCATGCGGAGTTCCAGCTGCGGAACTTCTCCTGGGTTTAGGGTTTTAATAGGCTTGGGGCCTCGTCATACAAAGCACCACCTTCTTAGACTCCAGAACAGTCTGATGTTACATGGGGGCTTCGGAAAATTGAGGGCCCCTAGAGATATGTGGGGACCACAAGAAGATTATTATGATACGCCTGATGCACCGTATCAGGATACTGTTGACAAATCTCGAATGTCCATGCTGACATGGTCTCCCCAGGCCTCGAGATGTTTCCTCAACTGGGAATCTCCAACTTCACAGAAGTCTCTTGCTGGGTGCTCTTGCATAGGTAAGCCTCATATCCAGGATACACCCTAAACTCTAAACCCTGAACCAGGGGGACCTGGCATGATTGGACGTCATGAACCTGAGGTCAGACCAGACACCCACATCCATGAAAGCCACTCGGTATTACTGAGAAGCAGGTTTGGTTTGGGGTTTAGGTTTCATCACATTTGTGATTCCAATTCCGTTGCTGCTTCCATGCCTGAATGTCAGTGAGCTTCCAGACCAATAAAGCCCTGAATCCCAGTCCTGCATTCTCAACCTGAAGATGAATCTTGCTTGTTGTTCGTACGGAATGGATGAATGGATTCCCCATTTTCTTTTGCATTCCTGCATTCTTTACCATCAGCAAAAAACCCTAAACACTAAACCCCGCGGATCAATGCCTCCCTGCGCTCCGTACATTGTGTTTTCCCAACGGTTTTCCAGTCCATGCTAACATCCTGAATAAGCCCTAAATACACAACCCTACGTAGGTGCCAAATAGGCCCTCATATAATCCTTATGCAGCCCCATACACTTACATGCCCACCCCTCATATTCATGTCCGTACTGGTGGGTAGTAGAGAATAAGGGAATATAAGCTCTTGCTTACCCATATATAACATATTCTCTCTATATCCCTTTATGAGCCATAGTCTAAATTCCTAGTATCCTCCTTAATAACCACTTTAGTAGCCCCCCTATATAATCTCGTATATAACCCTTTTTCAAGACTTGAGGTTCTGGCTCATATGCAACCAAGTAATGTGCTGAGGAAGGGGGAAGCCGCAGTTCAAGCAAGGCCAGAAAAGCCTCCTGAAAGCTTCACTATAGAAAAACTGCGCTTGGTTTAGTACTAGTACTGGGTTAGGGGGTTTAGGGTTTAGGGTTGGTTTGGGGTTCAGGGTTAGTGGAGGAAATCTTGTACCACCTAGATGTCCTACTGCATCATCAGTCCCAGAATTCAAAGGCTTCAGGTGGTGCAACGCTTCCTCCCTCAACCGTGTGGCCCTTTCAAGAGGGTGCTAGAGATACATAGGTACAGGAGATATGTAGCGTGGTTCAGAGTTGAGGATTAACTGCGTGGTCTTAGGGACTTAGATAATGGAAAGGAAAACGGAAAATGACATGGAAATACTCTCCTTATTGGGGGTTAGGGTTGAGGGATAATGGAGAACCAAATTAATGGAGACATAAATCAAGCCTAGTACAGTATTCAGGTTTTTGGTCCGTGGTTAGCGGCATTTTGGATAGCTACTTGGATGGTCAGTGAGCAAGACGGATTCAACGAAAGGTGACATGAAACGGGGTGTATATGGGGAGTATATGGCTTTGATAGAACGTGACTTAGAAAGGAACTGGGTTAAGAACGGAGATGCTGGGTGTTATGATATCTAGGCAACGTACAGCGACCTCACTCTACGTAAATGGTGTTCTATATAGAGAGTAGTACCATAATGGCCTTAAATTGGGAATTGACATTGTTGTAAAGTACCCTGAGCATGGATTATAAGGGTCTTAGTCTACTAAGCCCCTCTGACACTCCAAGTAGGGCTACTAGATTTCGAGAGATGGTTGCCAGCAGCGTGCGAAGAACAAGACTGGCCAAACCCTAAACCCTAAATTCCCACCCGGCCTGCTTAGGCCGTTCCCACCCAGTACTAGGGTGGTCAGACACTGAAGACACACACAACGTATGGAGCCCCTCCGGGCTCCTGCCGTTCATCGGGAGGCGCAGCCCTGCAGCCACCCCACTGGGCCAAATCTCTACAATGTACATTGGTTTTCTTTTGATGGGAATAATCCAAACTGAAGGGTTAAAGCTTCACCACGTCGCCCCCACATTTTCAGCATCCAGAAAGGTTCTGGTGGGGTCGGGCGCCCATACTGACCTGAAGCCAGAGCGCTCTGCAGGCCCTTGCAGGGTTCTGGAGGCCCCTGACCACCAGGAGGCCCCTGGAGACTCGCCAGGCGCGATTTCGTTGAGGTGGGAGTCGAGGGCGTAGCCCTAAACCCTAACAGGAAGTAATTTGGGTGGTAGCTTGCGATGTCTCACAGCAGGTGGGGGTTTTTGAAGAAAGCCCAGCTTCGATGGCTTCTTGGGCAACATCCTTGAGGTTCTCTGGGCGCAGGATGTGCCGCCACCCACGATCCCTGGAAGCGGGCTGGCGCCATCGGCGTATGGATACTCAGCCCTGCGCAGGTAGACGCCCTAAACCCTAAACCCTGAGCCACGTTGCATGGTTTGGCCGTCCGCAGCCAAAGGCCGCCATTACCTAAATCCTATGCTTTAAGCTCTAAGACTACCACGTTTGAAGGATTATTAGCTATAATCAAAACCCCTTACAAAGGGGCTATATATATGGGGTGTTAAATAGGGGAGTATTATAGGGGATATTTAGGGGATGCTAGGAGTTTAGCTCATATTAGATGTTGAATATCAAAGTTGATCCTGCGGCCTTCGTTGCCAGCTCCCTCTCAAAGATTAGGTTATTACGGATTTCTACGCTACATCCCCTTACTACTCCCCCCAGACTAAGTTAAGTAGGGGGACTCATACAGACCCCCAAGTCTCACAATCCTTATTGTGGGGACTCCTGAAAAAATAGCCATGATATTGGGGAAGCACTTAAAATCCCGTCCCAGTTTCCATTTCCTTTTCCATGTGATTTTCCATTATAGGGGATAGACTATCCCCAGCGAACCCCCTGTATAGTATTGTTATAGTCTCTGTATATTTGGGAAACACTCACATAAGCCATAGCCTACACTCCTAGCATCCCCTCCAATATCCCTTATAATACTCCCTATATAATCCCCTCTATAATCCGCCTTTAAGGATTTTAGATTCTAGCTCATCCCTAACCCACTACACCCTAAACCATCCAGACAGTTGCAGGAAGCTTCTGAGCTGGGGACTCCGGCGGAAGTGAAGCGCTTGGACTTCGGACTTCCTGACACGAAGGACAGCTTGGGTTTAGGGTTTAGGGCTGCTTGGCATCATGATTTCATAGGCTTTCTTTGGAGGTTCTAGGGTTCAGGGCTTAGGGTTTAGGATCAGGGGAGCTTAGGAATACTGATTGAACGAGAACTATGTGGAAAAGATATTGGTGTGTTAGTAATGGCTATTTCAAGAGTTATTGTATGACGTATCAACTTATTCCTTTGCTTTCAAATTCCACGTAAGGCTTCCAAACCCTAAACGCCCTCAACCCCAAACCACCAAAACCCAAAATCGCGTTCCTCTTTGTGGGTTTCACCCTGCGAGAGAAGCGGATGCTGGCGGGAATCCAGGGCAAACATGCAAAGCTGGTATGATATGGGCCAACGTTCCCCTTTGGGGGTTGTATAAGGGGTTCAGAAGGGGTATACAGGGGTACAGGGGTTATGGGAAGTTCAATATTCATATAAAAGGTTTCTATGAGATCCCTACAGGGTAACTCCCCTCCTGTAGTTGCATGACATATGATCCCTTTCAAAGGAAAGTGGTCTTTGTGGAACCCTCTTTGGATTCCATGTGATTTTGGGAGGAGTGTAAACGAAGGCAAACCTAGGACACTTCTACCCACGGACCAAGTTGCGATCCATGAAGCTTCTTTCACTCGTGTTCATACATCTCCCCATCTGCTGCCAAAAGGCTGTCAGGGAACGTGAGCTACGCACTAAGGGTGTGTGTGGTTTTACTGTTGGTCGGATATGCTGGGTGTAGTGAACATCAGCAAATGAGCATCTTGACTGTGACCCTCAATCAACATAGTCATCATCAGCAAGAGTGTGCCTATGCTTCTGAAGCAGAGTCTCGCCGAACCCATTGCCATGCTTGCAGGACATGGACGATCCATGCCAGCCAAGACCAGCTGATCAGCTGGGCTTTGGGCGATTTGGCTATGATTGCGCAAGAAGGAATTTCTCAGATGCTGCGTCGCTTTTTGAACGCTTGGACTGGGGATTGCACTGTCTTGGGCACAGGTAGCGGGCCCTGATTTCGAAGCACAGCAAAGCTTCACACAGAGAGCAGCGCGAAACTGTGAGTAGATCGTTCTGTGGAAAACACCAGGGGCGACACTTAGCAGGAACCACTGCCTCAACCCACATGAAGAAGCAGTCCTCCGTCTGAGGTTTGGGATATGCAGCCGCTCTGGGAGCAAGGACTCCTGTTAGGATTTGTGGTTTCCGGCTTGCAGCGCAAGCTTCGCTTTGGAGGGTGACGTTACGAGCATATAGTATTTGAGGTAATTTCCCTAAATAATGGCCCCAACACAGACCCCTAAGCACACTGATCCTTATTGTAGCCACCTCGAAACAGGTACACCTAATTTTGGGAAACCCTAATTCCTACAAGCCACTACCTGCATGTGATGTTCAAATAATGTCCCGGCTTTTGAGACACCCCTATATGAACCATAGTCCTAGTATCCCACTCAATAACCCCTATTACTCCTCTACATAATCCCCCTTTAAGGAGTTTAGACAGTTTAGACTTTAGTACATATGGTATTTGTGTAAGTCAGCTCTGTGACTATGGGATGCCGCAGGAGCCAGACTCGTTTGAAACGAGGGCCCTGCTTGCTTGGAGTCTTTTGCTAGTTTTTGTGGGTTTAGGGTTTAGGGGCTGGGGCTTTTACTCACTAGTATTTAGCGTTTAGGGTTTAGGGCCAACCCTGATACTAAGGTCATCACCAGTATCATTATACCACTATCGCTACTACTGTTATTTCCTTTTCCATTATCCCTATATAAACCCAGTAATCTACCCCATGTTCAATCTACTTAAGGGGGACTAACGTTTTACGGTCTGCCCTCTGAGGGCCTCACTGTCTGACCGTTTGCCTCTGGGTCTGGCTATCTGAGCGTCTGACTAAACGCACGCTCTGTCTGCTGTTACCATTACTTCAACCGTTGAGACCAGGTATTAGTATTACTACTACAGTATAGGGTTTAGGGTTTAGGGTTATTACCATTACTTAAATCATTGAGGCCGATTAGTACCATCACTACTACAGTTCCTATCGTTAACTTTTGATTATGCATTACTATGCATGTTCTTACCCTTACTGACTCTTACTGCTGCTATCGCTCATACCATTATGGCCATTGAGGTCCAGTAACCCGGATTCCTAAACCCTAAACCCAAACCCTAAACCCCCAGCCCTAAGTCCAAAACATGAAATACTAAGTCCTAAGCCCTAAACCTTAAATCCTACGGTTTAGGGCATAGGGATCCTAAACTCCAAACCAAAAATCCTGAACCCTGAAAGCTTTGCTTTAGGACCCGACTTCGGGCACGAGACTGGGAAGCAAAGACATCTCTCCATCTGCTTCCCCGTGCCTTGCATTTGTAATCTAAGTCGTCTGGTTAGGGGGTAGAATTTAGGAGGACCCCCCACCCTGTAATAGTCATAAAGTAGGAATATAATAAGACCTTCATATAATCACTATTATCCCTTATTGTCACTATTACTGGGTGGGGGGTCCACCTAAGGTAGAATGTACGTAGGTTTTAGGGCTTAGGGGATCTTGGGTCTAGGCTTCGGATTTGGGGATTGGGGCCTGGGATTTAGGGTTTGGGATTCGGGGCTTAGGTTTGGGGATTCAGGTTCTGGGTCACCAATATGGAGGTTGAGGGTTCAGGGTTTGGAGTTTGGGGGCTCTGGAATTTAGGGGTTTTCACAGGAGTTGGGGATACATTTCTGGATCCAACAGGGGCTTAGGGTTTAGGGTTTCGGCTTAGGGTTCAAAAGCCTTTGCATGCTAGTAAAAGCTCTACCACGTTCAGCGGGTCACCCTTTGTGACATGTTCTTGCTGTTGATGCTTCTGAAAGATATCTAATAGTATTTGTCATGGCATCTTGGGGACCTAAACCCTAAACCTTGGGGACTGCTCCCGCTCTGCAACAGATGGAGAATATTAGTATTACTCTGAGAGTTATATGTAGCCCTTAATGTGAATCCTATTATAGACTGTTAGGGGCCAGTGCCCAACCTAAAGCTATCAGGTGGCCGGAGAGTGAGACATTCGCGGCAGTTCGCGATTGGCTCCGGGGAAGTCCGAACTCCATTGTGCCCCGGTTGACCTGGGATTCTGGAGGGTCGCTATGACTTACCCTAGGGCTCCCAGTTACCTAAATAGTTGGTTACTGGGCTATGTGAGCTCTGGTTTCATAAGCTCTTTAAAGGGGTGCATATAATTGTGTATAATTATGTATATAGAGGACATTCTATAGGGAGCTACTATACAGGATATTCAGGGAGGGGGATACTGCGAGTTTAGACTATAGCTCATACAACCATAACTGGAGCCCTAGGGTCAACCCAATTTATGATAGGCAGTTTCGCCAAGGTCTTCGCAAAACCGCAGCCACTGCCAAGTTGCGCCCGTTCCTCAGTAACAGGCTGCCCTGAAATGAGCTGTAGTCTAAACTGTTTGAACTCCTCAAGCGCTGGGGTTATATAGGGGAGTATATAGGGGAGTATTATGATTAGGGGTTGTTTTGCTTTCCTCAGGCTATGTCATATATTCATGTTATGTCACATTCGGGCCCTGCAGGCATTCTGCATGCGTAGAAAGGGTCTCTGTGCAAAGCCCGCTTCATACAAACAATCCATGGTTGCATTCACAGATACCCCCTCTAACGAAAGCATAGCCACAGCAGTCCCTGAATGTTTGGCTGTTGAGGAATCTGTGGGGGAGGTATCGAAGTTGCACAACGTTCTGGACGGCCTGGAAGAGCGCCTCCAAAGGAGACTGTCTCAGTTCATCTTCACGCCAGCTACTGTAAGTCTTTACGTTGGTGTGCCACATGTTCGTGCTGCGGACGACAACGACGCACCGCCATCAGCGATGTCGACGATGCAACCCAACTACCCCAAATTGTGATGAGCTCACCTTTAGTGGTAGTTAGTACTGTGAACATACCACAACTGACCTTAACTCAGGATTGTGAATAGTTGCCCAGTAGTTATACAGCACGACATGTAAAGTTGTCCAAAAGGGGGACCTTTTGGCACACCCTATACAGTAATTCCGATATGTTAAATCAAGGTTCGTCTCATGATAGGAACACATGGCTAAAAACGAGGCCATCCTCTAAGCCCTAAACCTTAAACACAAGTCGAAGCCCGGAGGAAATTGGATAGCGCCATGGCCGCGGCGGAGGATATCCAGACCCGAGCGTAGGTAATTCGTGGTCCTTGAGGGGATGGGGTTTAAGGTCAATTTGCAGGGCTTGTATAGTGGAGTCCTGTTGAGCCAGCTAACATCCCGAGCCTGGGTTCAAAAAAAGGAGCTTAGGTTTAGGGTCTACAGCTTCGGGGTTTAGGATTTAGTGTCTAGAAAATGTAGATTCTCTTTTGGGGGTTCTAGGGATTGTAGGGGATCCAGGGGTTATGTGAGATCTTGAACTTTTGGGGTGTGGGGCAGGGAATATAGGTACCATCATTGGGGATTCTATGGGGGTGTTTTGGCGTCCATACCCCCACTTTCTCTTAAGACCCAGTAAGTGTAGAGCGCAGAGGATGATAAGAACTTACAATTTCATCGGCCGTGAGCTAATGGTCTAAACTCCTTAATTGGGGTTATATAGGGGGTTTTATAGGGAACTACTATAGGGGTTATTAAGGGGGATACCAGGAGTTTAGACTATGGCTCATATGGGTCGGGTCCCATGTTGGCATGGTGGATATTTGGTTGTAGGCATGGGAGGCAGAACCCACAAGCCTGCCCAAGCTCTGTTTGCAGAACTGCGCCCTGGATGCCAGGAGCGGTCTACATGATGCTCGCAGTGCGGAGCCAGGTTTCACCTAGCCAAATGTTGGAGCTGAATTTCCCGTGACCTCCTGTACAGATGCGCTTAGTGCAGCAGGATCACGTTTTACAGGAGGTGGGAATGCTTGCGTGCGTTTGCCCAGACCGGCAGGTGCATGCCCCAAGGACTGCACTCCTTGGTTTTTACAAGAGATCTCTTTTCCTGCAGGACCTTGATGGAGTAGGGTTAGTGCCTTTGGGGAGGATGAACTGCAGCGTTGACAGCCCTCCAACAAGGTCCTGACTACAAGGTAGAAGCAGCGGCTTCCAACTTGAAACCTCTGGAAATTGACATGTAACTAAGATGTTTCAGACCGGGATTGACATTCTTTTTGCGTAGTTCAGACCCCTGATCAATAAACCCCCTCCCCTCAAAAGGGGTTATAAGAGGGATCCTACTATTTAGGCTCTTAAAAGGAGGGGGGTTATTAATCATGGGTGTACATTAACCTAAACCCTAAGTAGTAGTTTCCTTTTTCTTTTCCATTAACCCCGATATAATCCCTATATTCCCCCTATACCCTAAAACCTTAAAACCTTAAAACCCTAAACCCTTAAAACCCTAAACCCTACGTTATTTTGCACGGTGGTCTAGCTTTTGCTGCCCTCCCTGGCCTGGTTGATCCTGGAGTACACTCATGAGTACTATTAGGGGTACCCTTAAAGGGGGGTTATAGGGGTCTTATAGGGGTTATATGGTAATAATTGTATATTGGGGTCTATATAGGGGTCCCACGGCGATCTCAGGAGTCCCCTCTGAGAGGATTTTAGCATTTGGCGGTTCATATTGGGGATCGGCTATATAATGTTTGGAAATGACATGAAACTACTTCATAGAACTCGTAGACCGTCACTTCATACCCCCGCCTTCTGCATCCACTGAATGAATTCCACTCTGAACCTTTGTTTGTAATCATTCCTGCGCATATGTACTCTCAGGAGAAATTGTCCAGGGCAGGGGCTTTGAAGGGTGTGGCGCAACGACAGCCCAGATCTGTGCTTCGTGAAGGAAACGCAGAAGGGGCGCCCACCGAATTGTTGTGGGAATTAAAACCACCCATCCTTCCGGAGCTTTCCTGATATGCATTTCCCCAAGAATGGAAACTCAAATGGACAGGAAAATGGGAAATGAAATGGAAGCCCTAGGTCCCTTGAAAGGGGTTATATAGGGTATATATTGCCCCAATGGAGAATCAAATGGAAAACAAAATGGACACTAGGGACAGAATTAGGGCCACTCGGGTGAAGGGTTTTGCGTAGAGCTTGTGTTAGAATCATTCAAGGCTTATACTGGAGAGTTCCCGATTTCCTTTTTTCGTCGGAAGCCTGTCACTACAAATCCAAGAGGTTTGCATAAACGGTCATGGAACGGAGGCTAGTACGGGTTGGTTAAGCCAACCCTGAAACCCTTAACCCCTAACCTCCAAGCCCTAGACACTTGGTAGTTTCCCTAATAAGGGAACCACAACATATAGAAAGGTAGCCCCAGAATGGTACGTTTAGTTTCGGGACCTCACTTGAAGTGCGAATGGGTCGACTCCGGAAGGCAGGTGGTTGGTTCATCAGCTCATGAATAGTAAGGGGGTTTAGTTACCCTGACCCCTAGAGTTCAGACCTTCTTATAGTCCTGTGACAGTTATAGGACATCTAAACCCTAGATTTGGCATTAAACTAAAGGGGTTAGGGCCACTAAAATCCCCTTATTCATGAAAATTGTTAGGTTTGGTATCAACTCGGGCTCCTAATTTGGAGCCCGAAACTCTTTCTTAAAGGGTCCATGTAGCTATATAGAAAAGAGTTGAGGGTTTACGGAAGGTATGATATACTATCTACCTACATGGACCCTTTGGCTTTTATCCCTGCAGTCGCCAACTCAAACAATACTACTACAGCTGAGGAATTGATGGGGGCATGAGCTTCAGGTTCAGGGTTTCAGAGGCCCTGTCCTGAAACAACCTGTCGGGCTGGGTTACCAACAGTTCCTGCAATTTATTATAGACGATTTATAGTATACTAGTTTCCATTCCATGTCCATGTTCTTTTCCTTTTGTCTCCCATTATTGAGTATGATGCCCTGATATAGCCCATAAAGCCGGCAGTCGGAAGAGAAGCAAGGTTAGGCCTCGCAGTACTTCTTAAAGGAATCATGATGCCAAGAGTTGGCCCAGCTGTGCAGGGGTCACTGCATTGTATAGAGTTTCCCACAATCTGTACAGTTCCCACCCCCTAGGCAGAGCTTGGGGATCCTGGCCCCAATTTCCTCTCGCGCAGGACTCTGCGTGCTGCAAGCATGCATAGTAGGGCGGCCCTGTCACGAGCCAAGCTAACGAATCTTAGCTAGTTCCGACGCTTCACACAAAAAGGGCGCTTACATGGCGGTTTTGAGGGAGTCCCCCTAGAAAGGGTTCATTTGGGGTTGTATGTTGGGATCTGCAACACATGGACCTAAGACTGTGTGAAGCCATGTGTTGGACTTCCAATGTTAACAGACATTGGCCGAAACTCGTGGCGAATCAGAATCTTAAACCTTGTTCAACACTTGCTTGTTGGCTCAAGTTGTGGAAGCAGTCAAATGTGTTCCTGCTCATAGACTCGTAGACATCAGCCCTGCGTTCTTGTCCTGGGCAACAGGAAAGTTCCAGGGATGCGTACCGCTGCAACATCGCGTTTCCTAAGTGCGCACCGAGGATCCACAAGCTCCAAAACTGCATGCCTTGTCAAATTTTGTGTATTCCTGTATACCCCTACATACCCCCATATACTCGAATAGATGCCCACCTATCACTATATTATACCCAAAATGGAGGCCGTCCAAGTAGCATCAACCTTTCCATTGGCAGGCTTGACATGCAATGAGACGGACACCGACGTAAAGGAATGCAAAAACTGTCGAGCGACCGCTAACCTGCTATAGTCTAAATGCACTCTGTGATCGACAACTTAACCTCTTGACCCTGAGCCTTTTCATTCACCCACTTGCAAATATAGAAGCGTGCAGCTAAATGTGCATGTACTTCTAGAATTCAGATGACATGGGCCTTGCGGTCGCTTCTGCTGCTGTTCCTGTGCCACGGGGCCAAGATTGATGAAGGACCAGAGCTTGCCACGAGCCAGGCAGAGAACTGTCAAAACCTTTCGTGCAAACAGTACTACTGTATGGTGGGTAGAGGAATTCTTGCACCACTGAGGATCCCCAAAAAGCTGTAGCTAAAAAACAGTACAGAAGATGTACAAAATGGTACAAGATTTCCTGCGTGCACCGTAGGGACACCTTAAGGTTTAGGGTGCAGGGTCAAATGGGATCTACTAATTCCCTCCCTAAAGCACACCACCCTAACAATGAAAGTTGCTCACACTTGATGGTGCCCCACTGGGGCTTTCTATCATTCGGGGCGGGAGGTTATTGCTAGGGGAGGCGATTGCCCTAGCATTTCTACAGTTGATAAAAGAGGTCCCCATATATATATATATATATCGGTAGCCTGAGACTTCCCCACAAAAATCCGGTATGTCCCCATATAGCCACATAGGTCCTTTCCATGATTTGAAGCTCTTGCGTCTGGTGGAAGGTCTTGGAGGAAGCGGTGCTGGAAACAAAGTTCTTTGATTATCGGGAACCTGTGCTCGCTTAAGGATTGCTTTCGATGTATGTTTAGGGCTTAGGGTTTAGGGTTTAGGGCGGTTAGGGTGTAGGGTTTAGGGTTTAGGGCGTTTAGTGTTTAGGGTTTAGGGCGTTTAGGGTTTAGGTGGTGATTCAGCGATTTTCCAAAACCCTAAGCCTCAGTCGTCCTACTGCCGAGTGGGAGAGTAAATAGAGCTACCATTATAGGGTATTATTTAGGGATTAGATAGGGATGAACATAGGGATCCTCTTCCCCCACTCCCTGAAGCACCAGTAAGTGTCGCGGTGTTCAGGGTTTAGGGTGTGTGAGGTGGGAGGAATTTTTGGCTTTGGATGGCTGAGTATTCGTGCGCCAGATTGACCCTAAACCTAAACCCTGAACCCTAACCCCGAAACTTGTAGCAGGGGCCTCGCTCTTTGTACCAGCTGCTTGAGGATTTTAGTGTTTGCTGCTGTGTGCAGTTGCTCTGCTTGAGATGGCATCTCCTATAATGTTATCCTATATAACCCTGAAGATGGCATTGTTGTGAACGTTCTCGGGCGCTTGCGGGGTGCTTGAAGGACTCAGCCGGTTTCACTTGTACAGCGTGCCCTTGCTGCGCAAGACTCTCTGGATGGCACGGCAGAGAGAGAGAGAGAGAGAACCCCAAGAAGAAACACGAAGAGTTACGCTGTTGTTTTGCAGTTAACGGGGAAGCGGATCCTGACCATAGGCATGTTTGAGTGTGAGCAATCCTTCTGACTGTTGTGGTTCTCTGGAATGCTAAGTAAGTTCTACCTGCTACAGCGTAAGAGGTTGCCTACTCACATGCCATGCACACCGGACAGGGCTTGGGGTACTGTCAGCGGAGTATTGCCGGTTATGTAAGTGGAGTCCGTTGTGGGGGTGTATAGAGTTCCTGTACCGAGAAGCCCCTCGTGTCTGTCTGCACTTGTTTCAGCCCAAATGGGGTTGTATAATAACCCCGCGCCAGAGGATTATGTCCTGGTGCGCCGCGAAGTGCAAAACGTGTTGTTTAAGTTGGAAAAACGATAAGAGGAAAAAGCAACGATAACCAAAACGATAACGCCCAAACTTGGAAAAACGATAAGAGGAAAATAAAACGATAACAACTTTTCAGGTTAAGCAAAAAGGAACGGGGTTTTTAGACAACCCCAAATGTGCCTCAATGCCGTGCCAGTAGGCAGGGTACTGGGGAGCCTGTACATCATGCATGCCAGACATGCCATGAGGCACTGCCAGCAGAGCAGAGCACATGGAACATGGTTGAGCATTCCGCATGAGGGCAATTGAGGCAAGTTGGCAACGGCCGTTTTGCATGGATTGTGTGTATGAGCATGGATTGGCTAGGCCGGACAACCTCCCTCATGTTAAGCATGCTCGAGGGGCATCTGAACATTGGGGCGGCCGCGTGATGTATTAATTATTTTGCTACGTTTTGAGGTTTACTGTAGTTGAGAAAGATGCCTCTTGCCAGGAAGTCTCACAGCTGGCTAGAGTAGGGAGGAAGATCCATCGACAGGGGCAGGTGCTTTACTATAGACTTTTCTGCTTTGCCTGCTACCTGTGTGATTGGTCAGTACTCCGATCCTCGCCAGTACCCGACCATGACAGACAATGCGTGCTGGGCTCGGGGCAGTGCCCCGGTCTACCTGTAGAGGTAGACTTAGCCTGTAGAAGAAGAAGAACCCCAATAATGTCCACATACAACCCATAGAATATTCCAATGCAACCCTTATAACATCCCGATGTAACCCTATACTGTCCCTAAGTGGATTCGGACCGTGCGAAGGAGTTGAGGATCTTTGGTGGGGTCCTAGGGCCTAAGCACTAAACCCTTAACCCCTAAACCCTCAACCTCAATCCCAGCCAGAGGCCTGTCGGTAACGCGGACAGACCCCAAGGTGTGATCTCAGTAAAGAGGATAGCATCCCAAAAAGATGGGTTCTTTCACAAACTCCAGAGGCGTCGCTGAAGCATTTATTCCATTGGTGTTGTTTGTTTCTTCTGTTGAGTCTTCATGGTAAGTTTTTGGGATGAGTTTCTCAATCTTTTGCCCGAGCTTGTAAGAGCTGAAGAGCAAGGAGAGATATGGCATCTCAGATCGACGAACTCTGGACGTTTTCTTCCAACTCTTTGACCTCTGGATCATGCTGTACCGGCTAAACAAGGCTCGCCGAAGCAAATTCATTGCCAGTCATCATATGGGTGAACCTCTATATGTACATATATCACAAAACAGGGTTTCACTACGATTGCAATTTAATAGCCAATTCTAGAGGGCCGCCGCGGATGTCTCTTTTCTAGAAGCCCTCCCAAATGCCGAGAATTTCCTACAGAGAGGGCCGGCATCTTGGGCGTTAAAGGCCATTAAGGCATTTCTTGCTGCTGCTTAATTGAGAGAGGCGGAAGAATATAGGTAGCATTATGGGGTATATACAGGGAGTCTACAGGGATTGTAAAGGGCATCCACTCCCACACTCTCCCTTAAGCACCAGTAAGATTTTGGCGACCCGCAGATAATCTGTTAAAGAGAAGCAGGGATAGATACCTGTTATTGGTCCGTCTGCAGGGCAATTGTCGAAAGGCGTTGTCTGGATTCGATGGTACTACAAGCGCAAAATCAAAGTATTAAATGAAAGCTAAATGATGATATACCACGGATAGCAGTGCTTGTAGTCCGTTCTGCGCCCCAAAACGTCATCTTCCGCTGAACTAGCTTATGCAGGTTGCTTTTGGAGTGGAATCGATGAGTGTCTTGGGAGACCTAAATCCTCATTACAGCCTGAGCCTTAAACTCCTAAGCCCTAAACCCCTAGCCTATACCCCTAAACTCCTAAACCCTTACACCTTAAGCTCTAAACTCCTACACTCTTAGACCCTAAGCCCCTGGTCAGGCAGACGAAGCTCTCAAAGAGGTGATGCCAGCATGCGAGTGGCGCCAAGATGACCTTACGGTCAAGGCTATCCAGGCCGTTCCAGCTCCAATGGGTTTAAGGTTTTTGGGGTTTGGGGTTGAGGAGTTTGGGAGTTTAGGATTTTAGAGTTTAGGGTTCAGGGTTCCGGCTGTGTGCGAGCTCAGATGCAAAAAGGGTTTCACCCCCACGAGGTAGAGAAGGTACTACTGAGAAGGCGTCCTAGGATGAACTTAGCATCCACGTCCTGCCTTTGTGTCCCCCATATCAATGGGGTCAGGCACTGTGTGCATTGAGTATTCATCAGGTCCAGATTGACCTAGCCCACATCCCGCACCCAGTCTTGTTTTAACATTAGCAGGACTCGTCACGGAGTTGGCAAGATTTCGCAAACCTTCCAGGTTCCCTCTTATTAGAAGAACTGCCCAAGGATTACATTAAAAAGAGACTGCTATCATTGAATCGACCCCCCGGCCCCCTGATAAACAATAGTATAGTTACCGGGAATACCTAAAGGCTCATATGGAGTTACCATTATCTCTAGTGGTCACTATTCGCGGATGCGGGGCCAACCCTGATGAATCATCCTGTCTCCCCATGCTCACCAGGCACTTGCTTTCACGCGCTGGAAGCAGGGCCGCTTGAAGGCGCTGTTAAGGTTTAGGGTTTAGGGTTTAGCCAATCTCCTGGCTTGAGGTTTCGGGCTCGGGGTTCTTTAACTATTCGCTATAAAAAGGAACCTCCAGAACCCCCTTAATTATAATCCCAATGCAAATTTCAGGTCCCAAGGGCCTCTTTTCTGAGAAGCACCCGGAAAGCTTAAGACGTGAAGGCCTAGCACCACAGAACTTTCTAGAGGGCTTCTCAAAATCCATGACCCGTCAGGTACCCTGAGGATTTGCAGATTACAAGGAGGTTTTTGGGGCTCCAAGTGAAGGAGTTACTGAAGCTACAGTTGGACTTGGTCTATGGGCCCAGTACGCTTCTGACTGCGACCGGTTTTCTTCCCTAAGTACCTCTGCGCAAGGCCAAGCTGGTCACACTGACTCCAAAGTGGCAAGCCTGACGTAGCGTGCAGTTTCTACATGATGTGTACTCGAAACTCTTGCAAGGCTGGTTAGAAATAGGGGGTTATATAGGGAAGCATTATGGGGCTTATTATGGGGGATACTTGGAGTTTAGACTATAGCTCACCTGGGTGTAAACACGAACAGATCTTGGACTCCGCAAGCAAGACCCAGCCCTTGCAGAGAATTCGTGGGGATTTCCCAAAATTAGAGATACCTTTTGGGGGTCCCTACATTAAGGCTTACACTAGTATTTGGGGTTTTAGGTATATTGCGGTCCACCTCTTTTGGGAAAGTGCCACACGCCAGCATGATCAGGAGGCTTTGACATGGTTCCATCACATGGAGGGCCTTCTGGGCAAAAGCGCGGTCTCTCGCCTTTGTGCCAGCTCAGAGTTTTCTCTGAACACAAGCGGTATAAATGGTAAGGGAGCACACACAGAATTTCCTGAAACCTAAACCCTAAGTAGTAGTTTCCATTTTATTTTCCATAACCCCAATATTACCTATATGACCCTCATACTACCCCAATGGGTGATCCTTTTAGTTCCTGAGGGTTTTGAGACACCCTCAACGATGTAAGGTTATGCGGCACCCCGCTAACGTAGCTTATGGGTGCCTACAAACTCCTGATCATCAGACCCACTTGTCATGTCAGCCATTGTCTCGTTGAGGCTCTTTGTGAAAACATCGGGCATACCTACAACTCGTCGCCCGGGCTCAATTCATCTGGTTAATTCCCGAAGCTTCAAGGCGTAGAATGATGGTGTTTGTAGTAGTGGTAGGAGCCATATTAGTACGAACAGCAGTGTTAAGGTCCAGGAAATATAAGAAGCCCCAAGAATCAAATTGTCACTACTAGTTATTACTTCTCAAGTAGAGTGACTACAGGAGTTATAGGCCCTCAGCGTTGGCTCTTAACCTGCTTTGAGGACTTTTAGGAGTCAATAATTAAAGAGACCTGTAGATGATGAGGATCCCCAGTGCCAAAGGCCTGAAAATCTCTAGGCCCTTTACAGCCCGACCCCTAAAGCCCCTGTTGAAAACCTAAACTCTATAAGGCTAGGGATGCCAGCAGAAGCAGAGATGTACTTCGAGCAAGCTCTCGTGCTCCTGAGCATGAATGTGACCACGGAGCAAAGCAAAGGCAAGCACTATCCTTGCAGACGGCTATCTCCAAACAATGGGTTCCCCCGTACCGACATACTATAATGAGGACACCTCAGAAGTCCTCCAGAATCCCTCCAGATTGATTTTTCAAAAAGGGTTGTGTGCACCGGAAGATCTAGCTGTTCCCGGCAGTTGCATGCTTGGAGTTCGTCCTAAGCCCGTTGCACCAGATTACTGGTGCTTAAGGGGCAGTGGGGGGAGTGAATAATGAGAATGACTTGGATGTGGGGTTGGGGTTCTGGGTTCAGGGTGTTGGGTCTAGGGAACGGACAAGGAGGCTGAGACGATGATATCATAGAGGAGCACTACATAGGGACTACTAGAGGGATCTACCCCCAACCCTGCCTTAAGCACAAGTCAGCCTCAAGCTTCAGGCCATGACCTTCGCTCATTGTTAAATTGTTAGGTTGCCAAAATTGTCCTTTTCTGGGCCCTGAAAACAATACGGGCCTAATTTCTGGGGTTCCAAAAAAGGGCTAGCTTTTTGACATTACCCCATTATGGTTGCCATGACTTGACATGTTGCTTTCACCATTGCATTCCTGACTTCATCAGCTGCAGTGTAGCCCTTTGTGGTGGACGAACTTTCAGATTGCTTGTATGGGCATTCAGGAAGTAGGTTAAGAATGGCAATACCTGGCATAATAATACGGTTTCTAGTCGGGCTAAACCCCCCTGACCCTCCAAGTGGTAGGCGGCAGTCTCCTTGGACTCGCCGGGGTCCGAGAGAAGCAGTCCAAGTACCTGGAAGCCCGCGAGTCCGCACAAGAGGCCTGCGCCAAGAAACTCCTCAATTTCCAGTACGAACCCTCCAAATTGTCATGGGAATAATCATGAATCAAGTCTATGATTTGTGGGTAGGTACCTGCGCAACGGTGAGCTGAATGAAAGATGTGGAACCCATGAAGTTGACAATACTACGTACTCGGTCTTGTTCGCATGTGCGCTATCAGATTGCTGTCACAGGTAATAGGAGCATGATGAAAGCAACAGTGGCAGGACCTGTTCTTTCCACCATGAAACGTGCGCCGCGCTTCCAAGGCATACAACCTCTACAAGGAGCGAGACATCGAGAACGGCTGGGAGTCATCCCTTACAGCCAAAGCAGCTATGGCTCTCAGTCGCTTTTTTGCAACATGTAGCCCTAGGGGTCCAAGTACTTATAGGGGTAGTACTCCCCAAAATGGAGAATCAAATGGAAACTGGGATTACATAGGGGTTTATAGGGATTATAGGGGTTTTGCCCAAATTGGGGGGGGGTTACTGGAGAATCAAATGGAAATTGTGGTTGTATAGGTGTTAGTATGATTCCTTAAAATCCTAAACCCTAAACCCTAAACCGCTGCTTTTTCGTGATAGGGGGGACTATGGGATGACTTTAAGCTCTCGGATTACTGTAGGATTTTCATTATATTGCAAAAGGTAGGGGTACCTTCTTAGGGTCCCCATAGTAAGGATTATAGTATTCTGGGGTCTATATTGGGGTCCCCCTATTTTGGGAAACTACCGTACATAATTATCACACTATACTCGAAGAGGGTCCAAACTTTGGGTTGAGGCTACCAAACGCCTTTTTTCTTGTCTGGGGCGGGATATCCTAGTGGGGCCCCTTTCTTTCTTGCTCTGAGGACGACCGCCCCCCCCGGAGCTTTCATTGAAAGACATGGGGTCTTTGGCCTCATGAGCTATAATCTAAACTACTAGTCCTAGTATTCCCCTTTAGACTAACCCCTAAAATAATCCCCTACATAACCAGCCTTTCAGAAGTTTAGATTACCCTAAACCCTAAACCAAAAAACTTGAAATAGTAGTTTCCATCCATTTCATTTTCCATTATCCCAGTATCCCCCAATAGAACAGTAATATTACCCAAAGTATACTATCTTATACTACATTATTCTACATTTTACTATATGACATTATATGTAAGACAAGGTAAGCTCGACCTGAAGCTGGGAAACCTGGAAGAAGCCGAGAAGAAGTGTGAGGACCGGAGTTGTGAATCAGGACTTGTAGGGCTACATGAGTAGTATTTTATTTGGGGATGCTCTGGTACCCATCATAGAGTAGGATTCTATCCTCCTTTGGGGGTATAGTATTTTTTATAAAGAATATAGAATCTTACTAGGCTCAACCACCAAAACGCTACTCATATGTACTATAGTCTAAACTCCTTAAAGGGGGTTATACAGGGGATTATATGGGGAACTGTTATAGGGGTTATTAAGGGGGATACTAGGAGTTTAGACTATGGCTCATATAGGGGATATATTGTGGATACATTGGGCTAATGGAAAAGAACGTGGAAACTACTGTTAAGGGTTCAGGGTTTTGGGTGTGTGTGGGAGTGTATATAGGGCTCCTATCGCTCACTGAGGAGGCCGTTCGCCTCTTCGAGTCGACTTCGGGCGAGGATTCCCCGATTCTTGCTCAAAAGGCAGATCTACATACATATCTATATATGTATGAGCTACGGACTAAGTTTAAGTTGGGGAGGCCTATAAGGAGAATATATAGGGTTTTAGGGGGGACCTATTCAGGGATATACTACAAATTTAGGCAAGGGCTCATATATATATAGAGAGAGAGAGAGAGAGAGGGATGTATACATAGGGGCATGGAAGCAAAAACAGGTTATGACCCAATAGTGAAGAATCACTTGGGAAAGAGAATGGATATTGATATGGAAGCTGGGACTGGATGGTTTTTATAGACGTTCTAGGGGCTAGGTAGGGCAAAGCCAAATGATATCTGTACTTGCGTACTCTGCGATTAACGTTAGTGCTGCAGGTGTTTGTGCCTACCTAGCTTGCTCATCCTTTGTGTTGGGATAGGGACTGGATCACAATATGTCGAATTGGGAATCAAATCCTTGTGATGATCCCTAATCAAGCTGGGTCTCTGCATGCGTGCATTACCCACAAAGCATGTGTATAAGGTTGCTTGCCACCGCCTTCAAGCGCCTGGGAGAGATTCGCATGAAACAGGACAGCAACGGGCAATGACTTGCTGAATGCGATTGGGTTTGGCCCCCGTCAAGCAATGATGGCATAGCAGAATATCTAGAGGCCCTAGCACGATTACCATTTTCACTTCTGATGCCTATTATTAGTGGCTGGGGGGCCTAACCCAATGAATGCGCATGCATCAGTTTTGGCATCAGCTGCACCAGCTTCTTCATTTCCTGGTATCGTGGCGCCAGACGCATTCTAAGCTGGCCAAGCAAGGCTCAGGCACGAGTAAATAACAGTTGGCAGGTCTTCAGCCAAACATGACGCTTACAGAGTTTGCAAGGGGAAAGCGGAGCCTGTGCGATAGGATGACCAACTAAAAGCCACTTTCGCTAATCGGGGGCCATCTTCTGTGCTGATCTATGCGTAGCACACCCTACAGGTCCAAGTACTCCAATGAGGAAGGCTGTATGGCCCAAAATGCTATAATCTCAATGGTAGTTGCTAGCCTTTGGTTACTTGGACCTTTGTTTGAGGGTCAGGGGGACCGCATGCGTGCGCTAAGAGGAGCCCTCTAAGTCATATGATGACCCGATGCCGATTCTCCCCATGATGAACTGTCGAACTTCTTTATTCAAGTGAAGATCGCCGCTCCACTTCAGGATCGACGGGCCGAGGCCCGTACCGCTTTTCACAGCGCCTACAAGCTGGAGGCACGAGATGGGATGCCAATAGCTGCCTTGGGTCAACAACTTTCAAATTCCCGCTTCCCTGGTAAGGAAACCAGCCGCACCCTTGATGACAAGTATTCCCAGGATAGGAGCAGTTCTTAGCAGGGGAAGACTGATTAGGTGGGTTTGCCGTTTTTGTGGGACGGGATTGTTTCCGGAAGTCTCTGTCTCTGCGATTAACGTAGAACCTTGAGGAGCAGCAGCTGGAAAGTTTGTGAGGCATGAGAGAGAAGTGAGAAGTCCCCCCGAGACCCCAGGGAAATACACTGAGGCCATGCGCTGGACAGGCCCACAATTAGTAAGCCAACTAAAACTTTGTGGCTACATTCGTTCTATGGTCTAAACTCCTTTTTTAAAGGTGGTTAGATGAGGGACTACTATAGGGATTATTAATAAGGGGGATACTATGAGTCTAGACTGTGGCTCATTCTGGTCGGCTTCCTCACATGACCTGGCCGAAGGCGATCAAAGATGCCTTTGACCTCACTGAAATCGTGCCGTTCTGAGATGACGATGTCTGCATCTGACGTCAGCGATACGGTCGATACATCGGCATTTCCCAAGATTATGCAGCTACAGTCCTTACCATCCTTACCCTTTTAAGTATATCAAGCCTGCTTTCAGCCAAGCGGTCTTCAGGTCATCATCCATCAGCAGCTTACGGATGCCCACCTCGCGAACGGAGAGCTGGACAGAAAGAGCTTCAAGCCCTACTTTCCCACGGTTGCCCAGGCACAGTTTGTAAGACAAACTTATTCTGTGGAAGTCCCGGGTGCCTCACCTTGTACAGTATAATGGGGTTTAGAGGTTTAGGGTTTCAGGGGGTTTAGGGTTTGGGTCCAGGGTTCGGGGCTTAGGGTTTGCCCCAAGCCAGCCACTAAAACCCTGAGCAGAAAGCAAGAGGCAAGAGTCTCTGCAGAACTTGGATATCAGCTCCATGTATCCCTGGCATATCTCAGAACACCTCTACCTGCTCTTGTCTTGACAAGTTCCCCACATGCTTTGGATTTTGAGGTGCTACATGGAGAGAGGGCTCCATTGAGACCTTCTCAGAATGATGACCCCTGTTTCGCATCTGCTTTGTAAAGGCACTCGCATGCCTAATTCTGGCACATAACCTATTCACAGTCATGACACTGTATCTGTGATGATGGCCTTTGCAAGGGTAAGTGGAATGCAGGCCAAGAGAAGCCTAGCTCATGTTCAGTATTAGTTAGGATTGCTGTGTCAGGTCGGGAGGATTCCGCTTTCTGTAGCCGGCTCTCAGCCATTGGGGATAGAAACACCCTAGTGTCTCAAGCCCTATAGCCTAAAGTCTCCCTGAAGTAGATAGAATATGGGGTATGTGGGGATCTTATTGTAATATACCCAAAGCCACTATCTACTGAAGGGTGACCATATGAGCTATAGTCTAAACTCCTTAAAGGGGGGTTTTACAAGGGTTTATATAGGGGACTGCTAAAGGGGTTATTAAGGGGGATACTAGGAGTTTAGACAGTAGCTCATATAGTCTTCCTTCTGAAATCTCCCACTTTGGCCCGGCCCAGAGCCTCCCGTACGCCTCCAAGCACGGATCGGCCTTGCTGCAAGGTCCTGAAGCGTGTCTACGACATGAAGCAGGAGTCCTACACAGACTTGTATCTAGCATATATTATAGTAAATAATATAGTATCTATTGTAACATAGTATATAATATCTAAAATAGTAAATAGTATAGTATATAATATAGTATACAATACAAGAAACTTCAAGAAACGCTTCCCATTTTACGCCTTTAAAGCAACGGGTAATGATTGAGGTCCCTGGCGCGAATGCTGCACCTCCTTATGAAATGGGAAGGGGGGACTGCAGGACGGCAATGCTGGTGCTTACTACAAGCTGGCGGGAGAGCTCTTCGTGCTTGGAGAAGATTGCGAGGCTGGATCCTACTTTGTGGGGCCCTGGTAGTGTATCAATTACCGAACTCCAAATTCCTTCAGCGACTGGGATTGCAGGGCTGATTGCCAGACAAAATGGCTCGGACGTGGAGTAAAAATAACGTACCCATCATGGGGCCTTGAGGAACCGCTAATCAATGCGGGGTTTATGCTTCAACGCGTCCGTGCCGCCAAAGTGTAAGTCAACTTGCCACCTCTTGCTACTTGATTTTGCAACATGTTGCAGACATCAAGTTGCGATGCGCGTCAGCCAGTCCAGGGCCTTGACATTTGTAGAAGTCGAATGCTTTGTTGCATGTGCGTCAGGCCGGCAAGTCTCTCCTGTTCGCGGCCGTGGCGCTTCTAGAGACGGAGTCATCGATCGACACCTCCGGCATGGTGAGGAGCTGCAAAGATTTGATCAGCTGCTTGGAGACTTCTTTTGCTCACATCGCCTACTGCTGGAAGACTCCTTTGTGAGTTTTGTAGGGAGTTTGCGTTGTCGTTATTTGCAAATAAAACTTGATCACAAGCATGTGCAACATGTTCCGTGAGTCTTGCAGCACCCCCACCAAGGCTTCTGCGGAGGGACTTACAAATGAAGAGGCAATGCTTCGAAAAGGGTGTTTGCGCGAGGTTGAGGATTGCCATGCATTGCAAATTTGGCGCAAAGGCGTGCCAGGCAAGGGTGAGGTGTTGATTCTAGTTCAGATTCTGATCCAACAGTTCACTGCACTGGCATACATGCGGAGGCATACAAAGTCGCACCGGTGAAGGAAAGCAGGGGGGGGCGGGGCGGCCCAAAAAAGAGCTACTGGATGAAGGTGATTTATAGGGGACATCGTGAACTCAAGTTCCATGTGTTTGCTTCTTTGGCGGGAGGGAATGTTTTGGCTTTCCGAATGCAAGAGTTACATCCGGACGAATAAGTTCTGTTCTGCATGGGAATAAAGATGAGCATGGATACGGTGCAATTAAATTCATGCGCTGGTCAGAAAGCTTTTGGGTTGGGGTGCCAACTGAAGCAATTGCAGTAATTTTCTGCACGAAAAGGAAGGGTGAGTACAGAATCACTGTGGCACAAAATGGGGCTGTAACCAGGGAACGGGAGGTTCGGGGTTGCTTTGGCATGAATGCATTCTGCTGGATTATGCTGGATTCATTTCAGTTTGTCTCAAGGTACGCCTGCGCGGCTGACAGGGTATGGATTTGAACCTGCCCGGAATCCGGATGAGTTTGTTCTTTCTGCAATGACTATGGGTTCGGATGTGTTACTAGAGGGAAGCCCGACACATTCTAATGATTGATTATGTTTTCTGGGCAACGGGATAAGGTTGGCATACAGAGTACAATTTGCACCTTCGCGGAAGAGTTCGGAATCAAGTTGCCTGGTCATGTTTCCAAGCGTGCCCTAGCATGTACCGTCCACATTGCGTTTGGCGGAGGCCCAAGGCGGCTCAAAATCAAAATATAGGTATTATATTAAAAGATTATACTGGGGTTATATTATATATAAAGGATTATTTTGGGGTTACATTTGGATAATGGAAAATAAAATGGAAACTACTATTAAGAGGTTTAAGCATGGCCAGCTGCCACTTTCAAATGTTCGTTCGCGTCAGTGGCGGATTCCAAAACCGTGGCGCGAGCATGAATTTTTGAATGGGGTTCAAGTTCGAGGTTGAGCGAACCACATTTTTGATGAAGTAGGCACGCAATCAGTTTTTCATTTTCCCTGTTGCAAACTATATACATGAAGAGAACGGACGTGGGGGGGGGGGTCGGGACGGTCAAAAAATCTGACACTTGTGGATGAACTTGCTTCTCGGACCAACAGTGGACTAGACAAACATGGACTGGACACAGCGTGCGGGCAGTTTAACACATGCGAACAACTAGTAGCTAGATCTCTTGAAGGCTTGCGCCTGCAGATGCAAACTGTTTGCAACAGCACAGTTATTGAGTTGATTTCGTTGACGACTTGTGCTCAGATTTTTTGATTATATTTGTATATGAGGCCTCATAATATGTACGTCGAAGCGTACGTATGTTATAGACTGTTTTCATAGATACCAGCGGGGTTCAGTTCAGCAGCATGTCGAGACTTTGAGCTCATGCCCAGCCGCATCCTCAGTTCAACAGCTGCTGCAGCTCGACACGGCCAGTTTTTTGCAATGCACGGCGATGGGTCAGGCCCACCGCGTGATAGCATTATCATGGGAACATGTAGGGATTTTAAGATGGTTTTTGTTGTTCCTTGTTGCCACCCACCGTAAGGGGCTAGCCTGAGCGTACACGTGCGGACGTTCTTGAGCGCAGCCGAGAATTGAGGCGTGGGCAGGTTTCCATGAACTTGCCGGCCTTCCTTTTGGGATGTTCGCTTGGGTCTCGGAACTCCCGCGTTGATGATGCCACAGAAAAGCATCAGAGCAGCAGTTTAGTTCATTGCGACCTGGCATTGACCAATTTCCTGGCACACATCATGTGCAGAATGCTGTACTCCTTTCCAATTATGTAGGACGTGCGCCACCATTTCTCATTAAGCGACCCTGCATAAATCTTGGAAGAAATGTTCAACCATACGGAGTCATTGATTTGCCTCGTATTCGGGAGAGGGAGGAACTGCTCTCGCATCCCGGGTGTGATTGCAACTAGTTGTGCGACTGAATGCAACCTTTGCCATGTGAGGTTTCTGTTTGTCGCTGTCTTCGGTTTGTTGGCCCATGCCTGAGTCAATGTGAACAATGGACGTTGGCCATTTGGATGGTAATGGGAGGCTCGCTACATCACCAATCTCGAGATGTAATTAAAACCTTCTTACGATGTTTGAAGCCCCGCTTTGTTAACAGAATCCGCAACGGAGCCGGTATTTGCTGCGCATGCCCAAGGTTCTCTTGTGTCCAGCGGTGGTGACAGGCTGGCCACTTCGTTGTTTTGCATATTATCGTCACAGGGTGTAGGCACTTCATTAATTGAAGTCTAGAGGGGTTGTGAAATTGGCCAGAATTTCGCATGCAGCCCGTGAAAGGCGGCCCATGACTGTTTGCGCATTTCTTGAAAGACGTTTTAGGCCTCAACTGCCGAATGGTCATTTCAGAAGATAGTTTCACGCAACAGTTTCCGTGCATCTTCAGCCATCGAAAGGTCATCTGCTATAATGCATGAAGTCGCCATAACTTCTCAAAACAAGGTTTGGAACGAATAGGCTGTTCAGATTCCCAATGAGGGTGGGACAAGTTTTCAGCGCGTTTTTGATGGGACGCTAATAATTCTCGTTTCAGCCCCGCTGCCATGGGACACCATACATACACCCAACGAGCCCGTAACGGCCCCCAAACCCTTAACCCTGGTGACATTTGGCGACAAAACACTTCGAACCCGAAATCCTGCTAGCACCTTACACCTTAAATCCCAAGTGCTACACCATGAACCCAAATCCTACCTAGAAAGCCTAGTTACCCATAATAATGGGCTACTTTAACCCACAATAATAGGAAATTGGGGGAAAGTTGCCTATGATTATGTGTAACTGGCTTTCTAGGTAAGCCCTTCAGTGAAGAGGAGTCGCTTTCTCTTGGCTTTTTGATGCCGAATGCGACCAGCCACTAGTGCAGCGCTGCCCTGAGCTTTTGCCAAAGCTGGCAATTGCGGGTTGATGAGGATATGTTTTAGGGTCTGTTTTAGTTCCAGGTTTAGACCCGAATAATGCAACATCAAATCGGAAAGAACATCGACAATTATATGGGTGGTTGTCATAATTATGGTCCGTTTTTGGGCACCCTAAATATTAGGTGCCGTACTAAAAAGGGGGACCCAAAAAGGGACCATAATTTTGACAACCACCCAAAGGGGAGCTGGGATGAAGTATTTAATCATGCGGATCAGCAGGACCAGGGCTATGGGGGCAGGATCTTGTGGGTCCATAGGAGCCATAGTCTAAACTCCTTAAAGGGGGTTATATAGAGGATTATTTAGGGGCATGCGATAGGGGTTATTAAGGGGGATATTAGGAGTTTAGACAGCGGTGCATAGGACAACAACGGGGAAATCATTTTCCGTACTGGCAATTTTGGAATTAAGAATGTTTGATCAATTATAATTGCCAATTTGACCAGGATGAGTTTTGGGTTTTTGCGGGGCTCCTCCAAATAGGGGACGATGATTATAGATGTGGATTGTAATTTAATCATTTGTCCTATACGATTTTAAGGGATTCCCAGCTGCCTGGCGGCAGGAATGCAAAGTGCAGCATATTCCCCAAAGGGTCCCAGTACCCAATAATTAGGTACTTGGACCTTTCGGGTAATAGTAGTTATAGTGAAGTTTTTGGGTAAGTAGAATATTATTTGGTACTGGGACCCTCAGGGCTCCAAACTTTCGAGCTGCGACCTCTAGAATCACGGAAATGAGCCCCACACGGTCTTAGCGCAATGGTCTCAAATATCCATACAAGGCTTTTACAGAAACCCCACATGAAGTTTCGGGGATTCGAAAGGGGAATTACCCGGGATTTTGGACGGGTTTATGTGGGGCTTCATGGATGGAATCGGGAAATGGCAAGCAAGCTGGGTTGCCAACATTAATATCAACAGCGATTGTAAGACAATGTAAAGTCTTCTAACGTCTTAAGTTGGAAGTATGGGCCCCTCATAATATGGCCTTGAAGCCTTTTAGGGGGACTCTAGAGATAGTAGGTACATGAGGATCCCAGGGTTAGGGCCCATACCAAGGGTTAATGATTTCAACTTTATATGACGTAGCGTTTTGGAATATCTAGATGAACAGCAGCGGAGATTTGAGGAAGTCCCACGCGTGAGTACATCCAATTTCTTCACGAGTCGTCAGTGGCTCCCGCATGCGCATGGAGTTGCCTGTAGGTACGATCATGAATTCACCGCCCTTCTTATGGAATCCCTCCTCAGGCCCGGAGGTTCCCCTTTCAGTAGTCGTATTCCACCAGAATGCCTAAGGAACCCACGACAGGACAATGTTATGCTTTCGTCGGACCTTGTCTTTCCTATCAAGCCTGCGCTGTTCAAAGGTATCAACGCATCCGAATAAAACATGGTTGCATTGCATCCCGTTGGGGCCTAACAAATTGCTAGCATTATATCCGCAGATTCTTTGTCATTGATTATTGGTGGGGCATCTGAAATAGATCGCGACATGATATTCGTCAGTATTGTGGCCCCTGCAATAGCCTCTGTGCCCCCTCCTCAAACGGAAAAGGCCCCTGCAATAGCTTAACATCAACTCTATGCAATGCATACTACCTCGTTTTGAAGAATAAAAGTCCAGAAGTGTAATTCGTATCTCACATGATGCTGAGGTGGCTGTACGGCTTCATGGCCATTCCTGTCGTTGTCCTTCTTGTGATGTGCTTGCACCAGTTTTCAGGCACCGGCCTCCACGGTGTTGACACATGCAACTGAAAGGACTATGCCCCGGAATATCCTAGGGACAGAAGACATGTAAATCGTCACATTGCCATGTTGCAGTTTCAGCTTTTGTTCTGGGCTATAGTCAGGGATAGATGTCAGATTTTTCGAAGCAATGCAGACGCGCTTGAACAGTCCGCACAGGCAACCCGCATGCGGAGAGA